GAAAGAGTGTTGCTAATAGAAAAGAATTGCAACATACTATCTAGTATATATTTTAAAGCATTTAGTATAAAACTCATTGACACTTAATTTTTAAACAATTATTAACAAGAGATATAATTCTCTCCTTTTTAATCAAAAATAAAATTAGGCATCTAACCTAAAAATATATTATTAAAATACAAAAACAATTAATACACACCTGAAGAGTGTAAAATTGGCGTATTTTACACTCTTCAGGTGTGTATCTATTCAATTTCTTCAGTCGAAAGCAAAGATTGCTAAAAAGTAGTCAAAATTGTTTGAAAAGAAAATATATCAACTTAATTACAATGCATGCATACGATAGACACTATTATACCAGTAACATGAAGAGGCTAAATGGAGTCAACACACGGTTCAATATTTTTGTCAATATTATTGTCAACTCTTGTATATTATGAGAGTCTTGTTATGATTTTGTTATAAGATAATTAATACTAATAGTGGGTGTTATTGGATACATATAATTGAATCACACATCAGAAAGGTAAATTTTCGACCACCTTTAATAAAAATATTTTGTATGCTTCATTGTGGGTAGATAACATTTGTTTTACTTCAGATGGTTTCAAACGATCCGTATGCCCAAGTAGCTAAAGGAAAATTAAAATTAAAGGGAGATTCAGGCATTAAAAAGAAAAAGAAAAATAAAAAAGAAAAAGTTCTTGAACAAGTATCCAAAACACTGGATATACCTGAACAGAACGAACAACTGAAATCTGAACTTAAGAAAACTAAAGCTGAAATGGCGTATCTCAAAATGAAAGAAAAGATGGTAACTATAGTAAATTTACTGTACTTCTGATTTTAATACGGTCTTGTGGTTACAGCAAACAGAAAGAATTATGGAAAAGGCATCTTTAACCCACAAGCAGAGAGTTGAAAAATTCAATCAACATTTGGACAGTCTTACAGAGCATTTTGATATTCCTAAAGTTTCATGGACTAAGTAAATGTATGTATTTGTTACATTTTTTCAAAAGTTAGATACTAAATAAAATAGAAACAATATTTTAACTTTTATTATAATTCAGCATTTTCTTTTAAAAATACCTTACATTTATCAGACTCTCATTATATAGTAATTATTTCCCATCATCATCCTCTTCATCTAAAGGTAAAACTAATTTATATTCTATAGTTTCTCTGCCTTTCTAGAAGGTGATAAACTAACTGCCAAGGTTTGAGTTTTTTGTGAACAGTTATTAATCTGTCTTTTTCTCTGTAATTTTGGCATTTAAGTTATGTTAGACTGTATTTTACAAGTTAAAATTAGCTTTGTTGCTGCCAATACTAAAATAAAATATTAGTATCTTTGTGAACGCATACCTATAAATAATGGCCCTCTGTTCTTAAATAAATTGGACAGGAAAAACCAACAAGTCAATATCACCACAACTATTCACACTTGTAACTTCAGGATTCACTAATATTCCTAATTGAGAACAAGAATCCTCCAGACTGGAGTATAAACACCTCAGTAGCAACAATCTGATCTTCATCATACTAATTTAGTAACACACACATTGATAAATTACATGCTAATTATTTCCCCTTATCATCCTCTTCATCTAAAGGTAAAATTAATTTATATTCTACAGTTTCTCTGCTTTTCTCTAATAGGTGATGAACTAATTGCCAAGGTTTGAGTTTTTTTCGAACAGTTAATAATCTGTCTTTTTTTCCATAACTTTGAGACTTAAGATTATATTTATTTGATAATCTACAAATATATTATACAAATATTAGTAACAATAAAAAGAGTATTATTATAAATACATACGTATGAATAAGGGCTCTTTGTTCCTTAGTAAACTGGGCAGGAAAAGCCAATGAGTCAATATCATCACTTTCAGCATATTCCTTAAGTAATGCTTCTATTTCTACAGGAGTAGCCTGTCCAAGTCCAAGGCGATGATTTTGGCCTACTGCTTTAATTATGTTTTTGTCTCCCTCTTCTTGACGTCCTAGTCCTCCCCCTGACCAACCCATAAGTTTCATCATACGTGCCCCAATACTGCTCTTAACTGTTTCACTATTACTATCAAACTCTTCTGTTTTTGAACTTGTAGGAGTTTCAAAAACATCAGGACTTATCTTAACTGTCTCCAATTGATTGGCATATTGTTTCTATAATGGAATAGTTACTGCCCTTCAAAAGTCTTTAATTAATCTGTAAATCTTACCCTTATTATACTAAAGCATGTATGCTGAAGATTTTTTAACGCCAAACGAGAAAGTTCATCTTTGGCCATTGAATGTGTCTCGAATTGGCCTCTCACGACCATTTCATTGTTTATTTGTAACTCATATATATTTGGAGCCCTAAAGAAGTAAAGTCATAATAACTGAAATATACATAATATATATTTTAACTATACTGTTTGTCGGGAACAGTAATGGTTAGGGAAAAACCTTGAGCTTCTGTAGCAGCCAGAAGTACTGGATAGGGATGATCATTTTCACGATAAACCAATACCAACTTGCCTCGTATTCCAGACTGTGACTGAACTTTAGCTATTAATTCATTTTCAACTTTAAACCGTTTTACATTTGGAGCGAAGTTACGTTTGATTGGAACAAATTGATTTTTACGCTTTTGCATTTCTTTTGAACTTTTAATTCTTTATAAATTTAAAGAAATAATACAAACTATTCCAGGAATTGATAGGTTAACGCATAACCAGAGATAAAAGAAATGAACATAGATAAGAGCAAGATGTTCTATATCTATACTCTATATATATGGATGAGAGATATATGGTGGATAGAATTTGAGTGGAATCTATGGTGTAGTCTATTATCTAAGGGAGTAGTCTTAGTCATATTAATGATAATAGTCAGTTAATAAACTATCATTATCATCTACTGCTAATATGATCATAATTATTAAAAATTAATCAGTATCCAAATATCAATACATTTTTTAGATGTTAGAAATAATTCATTAATATTTTCAATGCAGTAAATTTCAGTTCAACAATAGATGACTAAACCTACCTAACCTCACTTTTAGTCATAACTTCTGCAGAGTATTACTTTCAGTTAATTTTTGATTTTGATTGAATGAAATCGTTTCAAAATGACAAAAGATAAAAATTCATCCCCAGGAGATGGTATACGTTCACTAAGAACATCAAAACTTTTTAGGGCCGCCAATTTTGAGTTGTATGTTCGACCAGTAAGTAATACCCATTGTGAATGTTTTTAGGAATTAATATATATCAATATTACTTCTTAAGAATATTGTAATAATGGTCCTGGGTCTAATAGGCATAGCTGGATGTTCAGGTTACCTGACATACATGAAGTACAAATATGAAAAATTAGGATATTATGCTGCTATAAAAAGTGATGGAACTGAGCAATTTACCAAAAAGACTTCCAGATGGGATTGATCACTTCATCTGTAGTGGCAGTGCAATAGATATCATATTATAACGTCACAATCAACAATTCATTAGCCATGAATACATGGTGGTAGATTTTTAGAAAAATATACCATAATTTGACTCACAATTTATCTCTGAAGGTGTTTTTGAATAATTTTCTTCAATATAATNGAACAAAAGAGCCAAACTACTTCTTTTTTAAACAATAAATTTACACACATGTTGATCATAAGAATTTGAAAATACCTTTCTCAGGTGACACTTTTGTCTGCATATTTCCAGAAATAACAGAAATAAAAGGAATATCATTGTCGTCTGTCATTCCATGTTTCAGTTGTATATGGTGCATAAAACTTTTTCTATATTTAAACTTTCTGTTACAAAATTCACATTTAATTGTCTGCAAATTAATAATGAATGAATTAAGCAAAAAACTATCAAAATAGAAATGGATACCTTAGCCAAAGTTACATTAATAGCTTCATCACTTTCATGTGCTGAATACATATTGCTTCTCATATTTTTGTCATCCTCAAATTCTTCTTCATTTTTAGTAGTCATGTGTTCCTTTTTATGTATTGATAAGTCATAGGACTTGGCAAATTCTGCACCACATTCTATACAAACGTATTTTTGATTTTCCTCTACATTATGCACTCTCATATGTCTCACTAGATTATCAGTTTTTGTAAATGAAGCAGAACAAATATCACAAGTATGTCTTCTCATGTGAATTTTAAGGCCTTTTTTGGAGCGTAATATTTTGCAGCAATAATTACATGTTAAATCATTTTTATCTTGTTTGCAGTCACACTCTGCATTGTTTTTTTCATTCCCACAATTTGGATCTAAGAAATTGTTGTCATCACAAGTTGCACACTTATTTTTATTTTGACTGGAGTCAGGTTCTGCAATCAGTTTTTCATTTTCATAATTTGAATCAGACAAACTGTTGTCCTCATATGTGGTACAATCATTGTTAATGTCTAGTTGTACAATTATGTTTAAATTTTCTAAACATTCTTCCTTAATATCTACTTTAGTTTCTGGTGGGAGAGCTCGGAAAATAGCATCTGATTTTTCACATTGCTTTTTAAAAGTAAATGCAGTTTGCAATTTAACTTCACATTTTGAACACAAATGAGATGGAAGACCATCATCTTCTTGGACCTAAAGTGTATGGTTAAAGCAACCATCAAATAATACAAGTAGTGTACAACCTGAACTTCAGCACAAGCCATAATCATATCCGATATTTGCATTGCTTGACCGTCAAAAATGTCTATATCAAAAACACTTCTTATTTCCGAGCTTACGCTCATGCAAGAACGACAAACTTTCTCCATATCAGCGTCACAGTTTTTTATTATCACCTTAAATTGTTCACTCCAAACTTATTTGGACAATATACATTCTTAGAGTTCTTACATTAAGCAGCACGTACAATTTATTTAACGTATAAAAAACATCATATGGACTTTAATTAGAAAAAGTAGAAGCGATGGCCATTCTTTGGTATTCTAAAATAAGCTTTGAAATTAATTTAACTCAATAAATAAATAAATTTCCAAGTATGTGATAATTAATACAAAAATTCATTCACATCATCCTTTAAATGTACTATACATACTTATTACCTACATACCTTGTACAACCAAGAAGCATTGCTTTTCACGTCCTTTTTCCGATCTCTACCTGTAACTTTGATAGCTGTAACTTTCGGACGTGGTGAATGTAACCGTGGTATCTGTTACAGAAGTGAACACAGAATTGGTGGGAAATGTACCCACCATTTCTTTATTTTTATTCTCCTCTTCAATGGTTTCTTCATCTTCTTCTTTGCCAGAAATCATAAAAGTTTGAACTTCTGGTTTACACTTTAATTCCATTGAATTTGTTTCCGAATTTTCCGAATTTTCAGATTTTTCAACATTTTGTTCTACATTAACTAAATTTACTAGGCCAGGAAAATGTCCCAGCAATTTACTACTGTCGATAAGAATCGGTTGGTTCTGGATGCTCAAATTGCCCATGATGCCTACAGTATGGCTCATTATGCGTGGTTCCTCTAATTCCAGATCTTCCTTTTCGATTTTTTCTACAGTATTATTTTTGCCATGAGTTTTAAACTTAATCGGCGCCGGTTTAGTCACTGGAGTGACTGGTTCTACACGATGTCCTCCTTTCAATTCAGGCTGCGTTTCCATCCAATGACCAGTGGTACGTCGGTGATTCTTTAACTGTCCCGATTGAATAAACCGAGCAGGACAAACACCGCAAGCATATGGACGAGATCCCGTATGTCTTCGCATATGTAGTGCAAGATCGTTCGACTGAGTGAACGCTCGACCACATAAGTTGCACACATAGGGACGTTCGCCTGTATGTACTCTCGAATGTCTTAACTAAAAATAAAATAAACTGCAATTATCATAAGTAGCCAATTCTGTTATTACACAATTCTGATTAAAAAAAATTAATTAATTTTTTCGAATTATTCTTCCCACAAGTATTTTGAAAATCGTTTCACATAATTAACTACAAAGTAATTTTTAACGCAACGCTAATTTCGCTATTACCTTAACTATGATGATTAAAAGTACAAAGTTTTATTCAGCAATAACTGGTATTTTTCCTAATATTGACCTACTATTATTTAGGGTATTTAACAAATAAAATACACATACCAATTTGTTACTTTTGTTAAACGATTTTCCACACAAAGTGCATAAGTATGGTTTCTCTCCTGAGTGGGTTCTTTCGTGACATTTAAGATCGTGGGAACGAGGAAAACCTTTTCCGCATTGGCTGCATTTATAGGGACGTTCCCCAGTATGTCTTCTCATATGCACAATCTACATAAGCAAAAGCATGCATTTAAAAAACGGCGTTAGGAATCTTTTTACAAACGTTTACCATATTGCTGGAATTATTGAATTCTTTGCCACAGTAAATACACAAGTGAAGTTTGGAGTTGTCTTTTACACCGGAATGAATACGCTGATGAGTTTTTAGGTTGTCAAGGCGGTTAAAAGCCTTTCCACATTGGGAACACACGTGTCGTTTGTCTTGTTGCAAGTGAACTTTCGTATGGCGAGCAAGATGGTCAGAACTTCAAGACAAAAAAGGAAAAACCAAAATGAAAGAGACATACCAGTTAGTACATAAAAAACTTTTATGTATTTGTATTTAATAACTCACCTATCGAACACTTTTTCACAAATTGAACACCTCAAAATGCTAACGACTGCTCCAGTTTCATGCTCTCGCAAATGTCTTATAAGATATTCGCCCCTCTCGAAATTTCTGTTACAAATAGTACAAATATAAGGCTTATCTACATGATCTTCATCATTGTGCTTTGTTAAGTGTTCCTCGCTGGCAAATGCTTTGTCGCAACGGTCGCATTTGTGGGTCAGTACGGCCCTATGCAGAGTCATGTGTCTTGTCAAATGGTTTATCCTATCAAATGATGAGTCACACACGTGACAAATGTGTATTTTTGCGACCGAAGAAATGAACATTAGGTCCATTAAATCGTTATTAGATGAAATATCTACGTTGTTTTCATCAGCAACTTTGGATGAAGATTCTTCCTCTTCCTCTTCTTCTTCTATTTCTGGAAATGAATGCAAACAAAACTGAATAAAAAGTTTTAAACTTCTTATAATAATTTTAAGGCTATTGCCAAGCAATATATGAAATCGAGTATGATGTTTTTGCTATAAGTTCACTAGATTTAGCCTAGAGAATATTCACTGAAAAGTAACTTTTAAATGAATTACTCCTTCTTAATAAAGTTTTGTTACAAAAGAACAAAACTAATTTTTTTTAATGATCAACTAATATATTATTTTCTCATCCTGTTCACATATATTCATAATACCTTTCTCAGGAGACACTTTAGTTTGCATATTTTTTGAAAGAACAGAAACAAGAGGAATATCATTGTCATCAGACATGCCGTGTTCCAGCTGTATGTGATGTGTAAAACTTTTCCTATATTTAAACTTTCTATCACAAAATTCACATTCCATTATCTATAAATGAATAAAAAATAAATTAAGAGAGTAACTAACAAATAGATAATACCTTTTTCGTTTTAAGTTGTTCCAGTCTCGCACGTCTTCTTTCCTATAAAAAGTAAAATAAAATAATTTTAATAAATATGTTCAAGCACATCTAATCTAGAGGTGATACTTATTTGAATTTTGATATTATAAAAATGTTAATTTGTTTAGTTCAATTTATATAAAACTACCAGCCTACATACTGAAAATGATTCTGTTATACTTCTGGGTCATGTACATAAATACGTATGTATGCATATTTTATGGTAATACAAATATAAATCTCTATAAATACATTAATGAAAATAATTACCTTTTTCATAGTTACTTTAACAGCTTCGTCACTTTCATGATCTGAATAGATATTATTGCTCATATTTTGCTCATCCTCATCATCAAATTCTTCCTGATTTTTAGCTGTCATGTGTTCCTTTTTATGTTTTGATAACTGATAAGATTTGGCAAATTCTGCCCCACATTCAACACAAATGTATTTTTGATTTTCCTCTGAATTATGCACTCTCATATGTCTCACTAGATGATCAGTTTTTGTAAATGAAGCAGAACAAATGTCACAAGTACGCAATTTCTCACCTGTATGTCTTCTTATATGAATTTTAAGGCCTTTTTTGGTGCGTAATACCTTGTAACAATAATTACACATCAAATCATTTTTGTCTTGTTTGGAGTCACGTTTTGCAACTTTTTTTTCGGTTCTACAACTTGAATCTGAGAAATTGTTATCATCATATGTGGTACAATCATTGTTAATGTCTGGTTGTACAACTATGTTGTCTAAATTATCTAAACATTCTTGCTTAATCACTACTTTAGCAAGAGTTTCTGGAGAGAGAGCTCGAAAAGTAACGTCTGATTTTTCACACTGCTTTTTAAAAGTAAAAGCAGTTTGCAATTTGACTTCACATTCTGAACACAAATGAGATGGAAGACCATCATCCTCTTTGATCTAAAACTTACAGTTAATACACTAGTCCAATTATATAAGTAGTGTACTACCTGAACTTCAGCACAAGCCATAACCATATCCGATAATTGAATTGCTTGCCCGTTAGAAACGTCTTTATCAAAAACACTTCTCATTTCCGAGCTTACGCTCATACAGGTACGGCAAACTTTTTCCATATTGGCGTCACAGTTTTTCATTATCATCATAAATTATTCATTCCAAACTTATTTACATAATATTATAAAGATTCTTAGTTTAATTTTAACTTTTTATTAATAATTAAGGTCGAAAAACTAACTCCAAACATAACCTATGTACTATTCAGAATTCACCATAGATAAAGACTTGAGGTCATAGATAGCAAAATCCTACAACAATAGAAACTAAGGGAAGTGGATATGCTTCAAGGAAAAAATTTTAATTAAAATTTTACTTTGTTCCTTTATCTAATAGAATTTAACATTATGCTATGCATATTGAATATTATAAATTGTAATTAAATTTTTACATATACGAAAATATATTATATACATGGAAAATTCCAACCAATAGGACTACAGTAGGAAAAATGCGGGATGACGTCATACGACAATTTTATTCAAAACTAGAAAGTTTGGGGGGTACCCTCCATACTAGAAAGTATGTATTATTTATGCAGTTACATTATAAAACTTTAAATAAAAAATGTTATGTAAAATAACATACATTTTGATAAATAAAACAATTTAAGCTATAACAAGCAGTAGTAACTACAAAAAAATACTGCTTTATAATTAATTATTAAAAAGTGTTCCTTACTCTGATTCCACATCTTGCTTTTCGATTTTTTCTATAGTATTATTTTTGCCATGAGTTTTAAACTTAATCGGTGCCGGTTTAATCACTGGAGTGACTGGTTCTACACGATGTCCTCCTTTCAATTCAGGCTGCGTTTCCATCCAGTGGCCAGTGGTATGTCGGTGATTCTTTAACTGTCCTGATTGAATAAATCGAGCAGGACAAACACCGCACGTATACGGCCGGGATCCCGTATGTTTACGCATGTGTAGAGTAAGACCGCTCGACTGAATGAATGTCCTGCCGCATAAGTTGCACACATGCGGACGTTCGCCTGTATGTACTCTTGAATGTCTTAACTAAAAATTAAATAACTAAAAATTATTACATGTAACCAGTTCTGTTTTTCACAATTTTAATTGAACACAAATGAATAGTGCAAATTTCATCCTTTTGCATATTTCCTAAAATTAGCTTTTTCTTTAACTTTGACGCTTAAAAGTAAAAAATTTTATTCAGATATAATAATTAATTATTTTTCTTAACATTGACTTTTTAAACAGCACACCGCATCAAACATTTCTAATAATTTGTCGATATTTAGGGTACTTAACAAATAAAAGAAAAACACTTGCCAATTTGCTACTTTTGATAAAAGATTTTCCACACAATGTGCACAAGTATGGTTTCTCTCCTGAGTGGGTTCTTTCATGGCATTTGAGGTCTACGGAACGAGGAAAACCTTTTCCACACTGGCTACATTTATAGGGTCGTTCCCCGGTATGCCTCCTCATATGCACAATCTACAAAAACAAAGGTGAAGTTGTTGGAAGTTGTTTTACAACCATTTACTATGTTGTTCTAAGACGTCTTTAGGACCACCTATATCTTTACTATTTAATGTTTACGTTTCGGTTAGACCTATCTTCAGCCGTTTCCAAGTATTACCGTACAAATTGTAGTTGAGAATAGCTGATGTTGGGGTCAGCCATTGTACACATTAAATAATAAAGACAAAAGTCTTGAATAAGTCTTTGAACAACCAAACATTATCAAACATTTACCATGTTGCTCGAGCTATTGAATTCCTTGCCACAATAAATACATAGGTGCAGCTTGTTGTCTTTTACGCCGAAATGAATACGTTGATGAGTTTTCAAATTGTCGAGGCGGTTATAAGCCTTTCCACATTCAGAACACACATGGTGTTTGTCTTGTCGCAAGTGAACTTTCGTATGGCGTACAAACTGGTCAGAACTTGAAGAGAAAGCAAAAAATTAAATAAAAATAAGACTCACTAATGGCTTACATTTTTTTTTTATATTTATACTTTATAACGCACCTATCAAACACCTTTTCACATATAGAACACATCAAAACGCTCGCATCAGTTCCAGTTTTGTGTATTTGTACATGTCTTATAAGATGATCGCCTCTCGCAAAATTCTTGTTACAAATAGTGCAAATATAAGGCTTGTAAACATGATCTTTGTCACTGTGCTTCATTATGTGTTCCCTGCTGATTAATTCTTTGTCGCAATGGTTGTACTTGTGAGGCATTAAATTGTTATCAGAAGAAACGTCTGCGTTGTTTTTATCAGGTATTTTAAAGGAAAACTCTTCCTCTTTCTCTTCTCTTGCTAGGGATGAATGAAAACAAAACCGAATAAAGTTTAACATCCTTTACTCTTATTAAGCATTGCAAATTTGTTATAAGTTCACTACATTTACCCTGAGGAAAATTCAACACATTCACCTTAAAATTATCTTTAATGAAATTATTTTTTCTTAATGAATTTGAACAAAAGAGCCAAACTACTTCTTTTTTAAACAATAAATTTACACACATGTTGATCATAAGAATTTGAAAATACCTTTCTCAGGTGACACTTTTGTCTGCATATTTCCAGAAATAACAGAAATAAAAGGAATATCATTGTCGTCTGTCATTCCATGTTTCAGTTGTATATGGTGCATAAAACTTTTTCTATATTTAAACTTTCTGTTACAAAATTCACATTTAATTGTCTGCAAATTAATAATGAATGAATTAAGCAAAAAACTATCAAAATAGAAATGGATACCTTAGCCAAAGTTACATTAATAGCTTCATCACTTTCATGTGCTGAATACATATTGCTTCTCATATTTTTGTCATCCTCAAATTCTTCTTCATTTTTAGTAGTCATGTGTTCCTTTTTATGTATTGATAAGTCATAGGACTTGGCAAATTCTGCACCACATTCTATACAAACGTATTTTTGATTTTCCTCTACATTATGCACTCTCATATGTCTCACTAGATGATCAGTTTTTGTAAATGAAGCAGAACAAATATCACAAGTATGTCTTCTCATGTGAATTTTAAGGCCTTTTTTGGAGCGTAATATTTTGCAGCAATAATTACATGTTAAATCATTTTTATCTTGTTTGCAGTCACACTCTGCATTGTTTTTTTCATTCCCACAATTTGGATCTAAGAAATTGTTGTCATCACAAGTTGCACACTTATTTTTATTTTGACTGGAGTCAGGTTCTGCAATCAGTTTTTCATTTTCATAATTTGAATCAGACAAACTGTTGTCCTCATATGTGGTACAATCATTGTTAATGTCTAGTTGTACAATTATGTTTAAATTTTCTAAACATTCTTCCTTAATATCTACTTTAGTTTCTGGTGGGAGAGCTCGGAAAATAGCATCTGATTTTTCACATTGCTTTTTAAAAGTAAATGCAGTTTGCAATTTAACTTCACATTTTGAACACAAATGAGATGGAAGACCATCATCTTCTTGGACCTAAAGTGTATGGTTAAAGCAACCATCAAATAATACAAGTAGTGTACAACCTGAACTTCAGCACAAGCCATAATCATATCCGATATTTGCATTGCTTGACCGTCAAAAATGTCTATATCAAAAACACTTCTTATTTCCGAGCTTACGCTCATGCAAGAACGACAAACTTTCTCCATATCAGCGTCACAGTTTTTTATTATCACCTTAAATTGTTCACTCCAAACTTATTTGGACAATATACATTCTTAGAGTTCTTACATTAACTTTTTATTAATAAATAAAATAATTAATAACTTATTCCAAACATAACCTATACTCTGACAAGATCATAACAAAATTCTGACCATTGATACTCTGACCAAAAAGAAAAAACATAAGGCAACAACTGTAGATATATACACAACAACAACAATAAAAATTGAAGAAAGTGGATATGCTCACATCAGGCACGAAGATCGTTACAAATGAAAAACTATTAAAAAAAACCTTTTTCTACATTTATTAAAGACAACTTAACTTAAGTCACTCTATTTTATTTAATGGTTTAAATTATCATTGTGACTTTCTTGTAAATTAATAAAACTACCAATTTCCGAATTTATCAATTTTTATTTAAACTAATTAATAAAAGCTAAAAACTATCATTACATTTTTTGTTGAAAAATGTCCATTGACCTCATGTTTGTTTATTTATGTAGTTATCTGGCAGTTACTTTACAAAAGTCATAAGTTGTGACTTATAAAAAATTCTGCTTTAGGACTTACCCCAATAAACTAGAACACTTTTCATCAACGTAGACATATGTTTTGCTCATATCTGCTAATGATTAATTGGGATAAGTCCTTTTTCTTTTATTTGCTTTAAAGTAAATTGATTAAAAAAGATAATTTTGAACTTTTTTGTTGAGTTATGGCTTCTCCATTGTAGAAAAAGAAGTAAAACCCGCTTTGCATTCTATTATAGCTATCTAATATTACTGCATACAAATGATAAAAATTGTTTACAAAAGTGAAAGATTTAAAGTTACCATTAAGAGATACTTTATTTCTCATGTTGCTTCATGTGGATTCTTAGATGATCTCTTCTTCGAAATTTCACATGACAGATTATACAGGAGTGTGGTTTTTCTCCAGTGTGCCTCATTTTGTGTAATTTAAGAGTGTAACTGTGACTAAACTTACGTGAGCAGTATGAACACTGATACTGCTTGATGTCCAAATGACGACGAATGTGCTGATTAAAGTGACTGGAAGTCTTAAACACCCTATTACAATTAACAAAGGTGCATTTATATGGATGTTCACTAGTATGAATTCTTAAGTGAAGTTTCAAATCGCCACTCTTATGAGAACGATATCCACAATATGAACACATATACTTCTTATGTGCACTATGGATTTCTTTATGGATACGTAGGCGATTACCTGTCTTAAAACATTTACCACATGTTGTACACATATACAGAGAGTCTTTATTGTGAATTCCCATCATGTGCGATTTCAGAGCTCCACTACTGCTCAAACATTTACCACAAATATTACAGACATACTTATATCGTGGGTGAATTTTCATGTGCTCATTTAGACTTGCTTGAGTGCAAAATTCTAAACGACATGCACGACAACATATTTTCTTCATCAAATGATTGACACCATGATCTAAAAGTAGCAGTTTACTTTCAAAAGAATCACCACAAATGGGACATTGATAAGTGTCTTTCAAGTCATAGTCTGCATGATCTTGATCTTCATGAAGAATTAAATCCATATCTTTATCAAATGAAATGCCACATCGTTCACAAGGAAAATTAAGTGACTGATCATGTTTTGTTTGTTTATGTTCATCCATACCTTCCTCAGTTTCAAATACTTGTCCACAAAAGTTACAAAATATCCACTCTTGAAGTAATTCAGAATTTTTAATACTTTCCTCCAATAAAATATGATATATGAAGTGTATAGAAACCATTAAACTGTTTGGAAATACTTTGTTACACAAGTCACAGTTTGTTGGATGTTCTGCTAAGTTATCATCATTTGCATCATCATTTTTATTTTGCTTCTTCATACAATAATGTAATTTGCATTTGTTTCTGTCTGAAAACTTTTTATTGCAATGTTTACATGTTATTGGTTGATCATAAGAATTTGAAAATACCTTTCTCAGGTGACACTTTTGTCTGCATATTTCCAGAAATAACAGAAATAAAAGGAATATCATTGTCGTCTGTCATTCCATGNGTCGCAAGTGAACTTTCGTATGGCGTACAAACTGGTCAGAACTTGAAGAGAAAGCAAAAAATTAAATAAAAATAAGACTCACTAATGGCTTACATTTTTTTTTTATATTTATACTTTATAACGCACCTATCAAACACCTTTTCACATATAGAACACATCAAAACGCTCGCATCAGTTCCAGTTTTGTGTATTTGTACATGTCTTATAAGATGATCGCCTCTCGCAAAATTCTTGTTACAAATAGTGCAAATATAAGGCTTGTAAACATGATCTTTGTCACTGTGCTTCATTATGTGTTCCCTGCTGATTAATTCTTTGTCGCAATGGTTGTACTTGTGAGGCATTAAATTGTTATCAGAAGAAACGTCTGCGTTGTTTTTATCAGGTATTTTAAAGGAAAACTCTTCCTCTTTCTCTTCTCTTGCTAGGGATGAATGAAAACAAAACCGAATAAAGTTTAACATCCTTTACTCTTATTAAGCATTGCAAATTTGTTATAAGTTCACTACATTTACCCTGAGGAAAATTCAACACATTCACCTTAAAATTATCTTTAATGAAATTATTTTTTCTTAATGAATTTGAACAAAAGAGCCAAACTACTTCTTTTTTAAACAATAAATTTACACACATGTTGATCATAAGAATTTGAAAATACCTTTCTCAGGTGACACTTTTGTCTGCATATTTCCAGAAATAACAGAAATAAAAGGAATATCATTGTCGTCTGTCATTCCATGTTTCAGTTGTATATGGTGCATAAAACTTTTTCTATATTTAAACTTTCTGTTACAAAATTCACATTTAATTGTCTGCAAATTAATAATGAATGAATTAAGCAAAAAACTATCAAAATAGAAATGGATACCTTAGCCAAAGTTACATTAATAGCTTCATCACTTTCATGTGCTGAATACATATTGCTTCTCATATTTTTGTCATCCTCAAATTCTTCTTCATTTTTAGTAGTCATGTGTTCCTTTTTATGTATTGATAAGTCATAGGACTTGGCAAATTCTGCACCACATTCTATACAAACGTATTTTTGATTTTCCTCTACATTATGCACTCTCATATGTCTCACTAGATTATCAGTTTTTGTAAATGAAGCAGAACAAATATCACAAGTATGTCTTCTCATGTGAATTTTAAGGCCTTTTTTGGAGCGTAATATTTTGCAGCAATAATTACATGTTAAATCATTTTTATCTTGTTTGCAGTCACACTCTGCATTGTTTTTTTCATTCCCACAATTTGGATCTAAGAAATTGTTGTCATCACAAGTTGCACACTTATTTTTATTTTGACTGGAGTCAGGTTCTGCAATCAGTTTTTCATTTTCATAATTTGAATCAGACAAACTGTTGTCCTCATATGTGGTACAATCATTGTTAATGTCTAGTTGTACAATTATGTTTAAATTTTCTAAACATTCTTCCTTAATATCTACTTTAGTTTCTGGTGGGAGAGCTCGGAAAATAGCATCTGATTTTTCACATTGCTTTTTAAAAGTAAATGCAGTTTGCAATTTAACTTCACATTTTGAACACAAATGAGATGGAAGACCATCATCTTCTTGGACCTAAAGTGTATGGTTAAAGCAACCATCAAATAATACAAGTAGTGTACAACCTGAACTTCAGCACAAGCCATAATCATATCCGATATTTGCATTGCTTGACCGTCAAAAATGTCTATATCAAAAACACTTCTTATTTCCGAGCTTACGCTCATGCAAGAACGACAAACTTTCTCCATATCAGCGTCACAGTTTTTTATTATCACCTTAAATTGTTCACTCCAAACTTATTTGGACAATATACATTCTTAGAGTTCTTACATTAACTTTTTATTAATAAATAAAATAATTAATAACTTATTCCAAACATAACCTATACTCTGACAAGATCATAACAAAATTCTGACCATTGATACTCTGACCAAAAAGAAAAAACATAAGGCAACAACTGTAGATATATACACAACAACAACAATAAAAATTGAAGAAAGTGGATATGCTCACATCAGGCACGAAGATCGTTACAAATGAAAAACTATTAAAAAAAACCTTTTTCTACATTTATTAAAGACAACTTAACTTAAGTCACTCTATTTTATTTAATGGTTTAAATTATCATTGTGACTTTCTTGTAAATTAATAAAACTACCAATTTCCGAATTTATCAATTTTTATTTAAACTAATTAATAAAAGCTAAAAACTATCATTACATTTTTTGTTGAAAAATGTCCATTGACCTCATGTTTGTTTATTTATGTAGTTATCTGGCAGTTACTTTACAAAAGTCATAAGTTGTGACTTATAAAAAATTCTGCTTTAGGACTTACCCCAATAAACTAGAACACTTTTCATCAACGTAGACATATGTTTTGCTCATATCTGCTAATGATTAATTGGGATAAGTCCTTTTTCTTTTATTTGCTTTAAAGTAAATTGATTAAAAAAGATAATTTTGAACTTTTTTGTTGAGTTATGGCTTCTCCATTGTAGAAAAAGAAGTAAAACCCGCTTTGCATTCTATTATAGCTATCTAATATTACTGCATACAAATGATAAAAATTGTTTACAAAAGTGAAAGATTTAAAGTTACCATTAAGAGATACTTTATTTCTCATGTTGCTTCATGTGGATTCTTAGATGATCTCTTCTTCGAAATTTCACATGACAGATTATACAGGAGTGTGGTTTTTCTCCAGTGTGCCTCATTTTGTGTAATTTAAGAGTGTAACTGTGACTAAACTTACGTGAGCAGTATGAACACTGATACTGCTTGATGTCCAAATGACGACGAATGTGCTGATTAAAGTGACTGGAAGTCTTAAACACCCTATTACAATTAACAAAGGTGCATTTATATGGATGTTCACTAGTATGAATTCTTAAGTGAAGTTTCAAATCGCCACTCTTATGAGAACGATATCCACAATATGAACACATATACTTCTTATGTGCACTATGGATTTCTTTATGGATACGTAGGCGATTACCTGTCTTAAAACATTTACCACATGTTGTACACATATACAGAGAGTCTTTATTGTGAATTCCCATCATGTGCGATTTCAGAGCTCCACTACTGCTCAAACATTTACCACAAATATTACAGACATACTTATATCGTGGGTGAATTTTCATGTGCTCATTTAGACTTGCTTGAGTGCAAAATTCTAAACGACATGCACGACAACATATTTTCTTCATCAAATGATTGACACCATGATCTAAAAGTAGCAGTTTACTTTCAAAAGAATCACCACAAATGGGACATTGATAAGTGTCTTTCAAGTCATAGTCTGCATGATCTTGATCTTCATGAAGAATTAAATCCATATCTTTATCAAATGAAATGCCACATCGTTCACAAGGAAAATTAAGTGACTGATCATGTTTTGTTTGTTTATGTTCATCCATACCTTCCTCAGTTTCAAATACTTGTCCACAAAAGTTACAAAATATCCACTCTTGAAGTAATTCAGAATTTTTAATACTTTCCTCCAATAAAATATGATATATGAAGTGTATAGAAACCATTAAACTGTTTGGAAATACTTTGTTACACAAGTCACAGTTTGTTGGATGTTCTGCTAAGTTATCATCATTTGCATCATCATTTTTATTTTGCTTCTTCATACAATAATGTAATTTGCATTTGTTTCTGTCTGAAAACTTTTTATTGCAATGTTTACATGTTATTGGTGTGAGAATTTTCTTTAAGTTTTTATTAGCTGTTTGATCAGTTCTTATAATTTCTGTATTGTTAATAGAATCAAGATTTGAAAGAAAAACAATTTTCTTAATAATAGGTTTGCTGGATTTTTCTGAATAGTTAACATCCTCTATTTCTAAATCTTGACTAATGTTATCTTCCAAAGCTTTGTAATTTTTGTCACTCATTTCTATTTCAAAAGGGGAATTATTGGCTTGAATGCAATCATTCTTTCTAGTTTTTACTAAATTTAGAATTTCGTCTGAAATGACTCTTTCTATTATTATATTCTCTTTAGTATCTTCTGCTGAACCTTCATGATATCTAACTAATAGATTCTTATTTTTATTATGTTCAATCATGTCTCTACTAAGTTTGTATCTTGAATCAAATTTCTTTGCGCATATTTTGCATACAAACTCATTTGTATTATCTGCAAGAGAGAATTTAAAATTTTCTGATTCCATTAGTTTCGATTCTTCAAATTCTTCTTCACAGTTAGTATCATTACCATCAAATAACATCAACAGCTCTTTTAAATTTGACTTAACTTCATCACACTGTTTTTTATAGTAATAAGCTTGCTTTAACTGATTAACACAAGCATCACATAAAACAGTAGGTAATCCATCATTGGATATCTGCAAACATTATTTATATGGTTGAACTGCAAAAAGCTGTACTTCATATTACCTCAGATGAAGTCAAATCCTGGAGCATAATTCCCAAGTAAGTAAGCTGGAATTCTTCAAATAGAGCATTTTCACAGAATTGTCCATCATCTGAAGCGACGGTCATGCAAGTCCTGCACAATCTGTTGATTTCATTTGGTAATGTAATCGTTTCTTCCATTTTAAAGTAATTATTTTATTCACTTATCAGTAGATTTAAAAGGTTTAAATGGAAAAAAAAATCCTCGGTATTTACCACTTAACTATCACACAAATATCAATGTTAATTTCGCATTAAATGGCAAACACATCTTGCTAACAAAGTTAATTAAAATTGACTTCATTAATACTTTGTGACTGCTTGTTTGAAAAAATTACTTTCATGACTTTGTTGTCATTAAGATGTCACACATATGTCACAATCGTCATAATTTATCTATGGTCATAATATTGTCCTGCCTTTCCAAAATCCAAACTTATTATCCAATTAGGTAATAGAATGTTAAAAATCTGACGATAAAACTAGATCTATTGATAAAAACTTTGAAGAGAAATGCTTTATATGGTCATTTAATAATCTTTCTTTAAATGCAACAAAATTAATTAATAATTATTAATAAGTTGTAAGGTTTGATTTCGTAGTACTACTACTGCCACCTATCGTACTGGTATCCACTCCTAAACATTTAAAATATTTAAACTTCCCAACAGTTGATAGTAGGCCGTTATTTTGGAATGAAAGATTTAACTGAATTTCAACTTCCTCGTGAGGGTGAAGTTACCCTCTGTGAAGTCGATGGACAAGTACATTCTTTACAGTATAGTTGTTACAGATCTTACGACGTAGACGCAATTACAAATACTGTGTGTTTTTACATAACCTATATGATTCAGTTTTTGTAACTTAATAATATATTTAAGGTGAAAAAACATCCTAAAGTTCATATAACTCGAGACATATTGCAACACATGACTACAGGAGACGATGTTAGAACGTTTTTCGTTGAAACAGAGGTACCTTTTTTAAAAAAATTAATCCAAACGTACTTTGAGTGTGGAGTCCTTGAAACACTTCATGTTGCATCTACAGGAAATAAATTTGTAATTTCAGACCTAGCTAGAGTGGTTCTGAAATTATTAGACGCTACTGAATACGTAAAAAATAAGTGGAAAATGTCCTTTGTAGAATTAGAACCTCATACACCTATTGTTTCACCTTTAAGGAATGTCCCATTTAGCAATATAAAGTGTATATCATGGCATCCCCACTGTCTCAAAATAGCCGTTGCTTGTTCAGATGACACTGTTAGAATTTACTATGATAATGGATCTGTTGGACCAATACTAAAATATAAACAGCAGAGAAATATCAGTTGTATTGAATGGAGACCCTTATCATTTTCTGAAATTGCTGTTGGTTGTGATGCAGGTGTTTATGTATGGAATGTGGACCCTTTTGTAGCTGTAAGTTTTTGTCCTATTTTGTGTGTGTATCTCTTTTGCATGCCCACTATCTTACTATTTTTTGCAGAGCCATAAAATTAGGTTCCTATTGATTTTTCTCTTGCCAATAACTGATATAGTATTATCTCATTCTTGCTAAAAGCCTTCTTTTAATGTATAGTGCAGCTTTTCTTTCGATTTTAACCAAGAAGAAAGCAAACAGAATTGCTGGTGTATTTATTATAACATTTTTAACATGATACCAATTAATTTTGCATATTGTTGATCAATTGTAGATTACTCGGCCTACTATAAGCAATGCAACATTACTACATCACGAAAATCATGTTCCTATTGTAAGTTTGGCATGGAGTCCAAGAGGTGATTTACTTGCCACTTGTTCAAATTTAGATTCAACTGTGCTGGTGTGGAATGTTGAAATGAATGAAAATAGTTCATTGAAAAGACCTGGAAGTACTGGCAATCATATTATGAAATGGTGTAAATCTGGTGCCAAATTATTAATCACTGCTTGTGGGCCTAAGTTTAGGTATTAATAACTAGTATCTTGGTACTGAATGCATAATTAGCATTTTTATTACTATAAAAAATTAAAAAATCTTTTTAAGAGTTTGGGATTGTTTACTATGGGAATCTGAATTGTGGGAAATAAATTCTGGAGAAATTGCAGCTGCTTGCTGGTCTCCATGTGGGTCAGTTCTTTTATTTGCTACTTCTGAAGAGCCTTTTATTTATTATTTGTCTTCTACAAGAGCATCTGCCTTTAATACTAAAAGTACTGGTCCTAATGAGGCTATACCTATTGTTGACTGTAGTAAAATTGAAAGAAATGGGACTATTGTAGGAGGACTTGTTAAGGATATGGAATGGGATCCGGAAGGTCGACATGTCGCTGTTTTATTTCAAAATACCAATTACGTAGCTATTTTTAGAACAAAGGTCCATCCTGTTTTACAAATTTTTGCAAGGTAAAACTTAAATTATTTATGTAACCAGCCATGAATCTCCATTTGTTTGGGTATGTTACTATTACCTATGTGCACATATTTCTCACCAAAATATTGAACCTCTCTCATTAGGATTATAATTAAAAAAATTACTTTTAACAATAAAATAATTTATTATTTTGTGACTATATATTTGTTTCTAGGATATATCATAAATATTTTTTTTAGTGTGTTTATTGCTGGTGCACCCGAAGAGTCACCTTGTCTGATACAATTTCAGAAAAACTTCAAACATGGAGCATGCTTAACTGTAGCATGGTCGAGTGGCAGACTTCAACATTTTCCGATTGTATATTCAGTAGAATTTGAAACAACGCCAAATTACTCTTTAAGCACATCATTGTTTTAAATAAATCTTCTAACTAAATTGTTACAATAATTTATTACTTATAACAATATATTTTTTTAATTCTATAT